CTTAAGTAATACTATAATAATATAAGTACCTAACCTATATAATAATAGTTTAGAAAATTCATAATTTCTAGGGCAATAATTTGTTCATATTGTATTTTTATAGTCATATACCTATCTATCCAAATTCTATAGAATATTTCTGTGAAACGAGTTTTTAGTTAATGATGTCAAATAGATTTGATAATGAAAATTAAATGGTAATTGTAATTAAAGAAGGTATGTGATATACAGGGTGTATTTAAATGAAAGTGCACAAATGATGCCAGAGGTTAAAATAAGTTGATTTAACCTGACACATCTATATCCCAAGTGGTATAATAAAAAAAATACAGGGTGTCAAAGTGATAAGAACTGTTTTTCCTAAACAGTTCCTAACGTCTAGTAAGCATGTCTCAGACTTTTTTCAGGGTGGGAAATATAATATAACAATCATTTTTGGCCGTCGCGAGCAGGGCGCCCTCTGCAGGCAATACTGCATTCACATGAAATATTGAACATTTTTGAACAAAAAATGTATATGTATCTACTTATTGAATATAGCTAGTCAACCGTTGGGTAGATATTTTTGATCTTATAAATTAGTATTTCGGATTTGATACCTCCAGGAATATTAACGTTTAAATCGAACATTTTTGTTAATAAATTCTGGAGTCATTGCTACACAGCATTTATAGTTGCGTATCCGTATTTTAAAATTATGTACACAAATGTGACCAAGAGGAACCAATTTATCCAACACACAGAGGAAAACCAAAACTATGGCAAAGGCAATATTTGTGCATACTTAATTTTCTAATACTTGGATTCCTTTTTTGTTGCAGTCGAGTAGTAAAGTTTTAAACGATAGCAGTTCGGCTAGCTCACCATAGATAAGGTAAGTGTATGAATTAATGTATCTCTAATATCACTGTCCATTGCATTGCCTCAAATTTCCTCATCGATTGATTTCCCGAACGCAGACATTGAATTAATAACTCACGGCGATTTGGAAATGGAAACCTCGATTATCATTTAATGCATTAATAATAATCAGTGTCAAAACGAATTGATTGCCAATAACTATTCTGTAAGTAGGTACGTAAAATATAAACTAACAATAAAAGTATCTTCGTGCTGTCATCGTTTTCTCTTTCACTTTATCTGGGTAATTTTCCATGTACGAAGAAATCTAAAAAGTAATTCCATAAACCCGTGCAAGGGATATTTTTATAAATCCATATATGTCTATCAAACATTCTCACACTATAAATAGTAGGCAAATAAAAAATACACATCCCTTATCTCGTACTTCAATTAATTAACGTTTGGAAAATCAGTCTGTTTTCATTTTTAAAATTACAAAGGATGTTACTTTTTCAAATAGAAACCGTTTTTGAAAAAGCTTTAGTAGTTTATTAATAAATTTAACCTCTAGCAACAAAGTTACATCAAAGCATTAAAAAAGTACTGAATTAAATCTGTAGAAGCTATTATTTAACAAAGCTAACAGTGAATGAACGATTCATAGTGAATTAGAATGTATTACAAATACTTGCACAATTAAATTAAACAAACAAAGTAAGCAAATTGAAAGTTTCATAATAGAAGTCTAGTTGACTTCAGTATTCACTATTGTCAGAAACATTCGACATGAAGTATCTAAAGTATTTTTATTTTCACCTGAAATATCGTATGCTATGAATACTACGATTACGATATCGTCTTTTTCTTCAAAAGTTACCAAACCAAGTTGTATAGTCTTTTCGAAGTCAGTTGGACATGTATAAAAAAACGAGCAATCAAATTTAATGAGTTTCATAGGCGTCCTTAGAAAAGTTTTCTGCTAAAGGTAAAAAATTATAATAATTTATATATAATGTGTAGAAAATTGCTATTATATGTTCATTTGGCCAATAAGACATTTTAATTATTTATGTCCTCAAACAATTTTATGATGATGGTAAATTTCGTTTTGTTCCGTTTCAAAAGGTCTCCAAAATGCCATGTTGTAATAATATTAGTAAACCAAATATCCCTCTTATTTCTCCCTTTCGCAATTGTAATATGAATGATTAATAGAAGGTGCAAATAATTAATTTAAATTATCTGAATCACACCAAATTCCGCATTGCTGCACTGCACTGCCAGGCGACTTGCCGACTGAAATTTATGACGCAGTTGACCAGAGCAACAGTGCATACGCTCATTCTTCAACTGAGCGTATGCATTTCTACCACCTGCACGTTTAGTTCGACTAGACCTGTATATGGGTATGGCTAAATAAATATGAGAACAATCTTTTCAAATATTTCAATGCTGAGTTGCTGCGCCAACGACCGAACCTTGTACATACTGTCATCCTCGTCATTCTTCACATATTCGTATTTGCTACTTCAAAAAATATAAATCTACAAATTTTCAAAACAATCGGTTCATACGTATACTTAGAATATAACAAAAAATTGAAAATATTTTTTGAACTTTAACATCCTGTAGAATGAAAAGGAGCAACAATTGATTAAGGCGTGTTTGGCTTATATTCGCTCGCTATATTTTGACGTTAACAATCTGACAGTAAGCTACGTACCATTTTTAATTACTCAACCTGTATCTATTTTTATTTTTCTGCATTTTTCTGTTTTTGTTTTAAATATTAGTGTACCTACTTTTGTCAGTAATCTGTCCTGTTTTTTCTTTTAATGTAAGTTTTAAAAAGAAGATACATAATAACATATTCACATACCCCATTCTTGCGAATGATTTTTGCTTCATATCACTATTTATACAAATATTCCCCGTTAACTGAGAAGCAAATATTTAGCTAAACTATATATCGGCTATAAATACTATTTTCAAAATAAAAAATTAAAAAATTATTTCTCATTTTGTACGAAGTCAATTTTAGGACCCCGATTGGCCTTGGGTGTAAGTTGCAAAGATCTCAAATAACTACAAATTAATGTAACTTTCACTTGTTCTACATGTTGAATTCAGCATTTTCGTAACGTTTATCTTCGAATTTAACAGAACTGCTACCTTTCACATTTTGAAAGTTAACTTATTACTAATCTAGGTACCTCGAAATAAGTTTGGGAATGAAAATGTTCTGTCGATGGATCTACTATTAGCGTTATCTCGTTATTTCCTTTGAATTTTATAACATTGCTTCCCATTGTTATAACTCTATTTTCATAGTAGCTGTAAAAATGTTTGTCATATAATCGATTAATGGTTGCGGTTTGTCAAAAAAGTGAGATATTTTCATTTACGTTTGCTTGTATCCACTAGTATTGTAGAATAAATAATAATACTAAGGATAAATAAAAACAAAAAAATTTTTAAGTTTCCTTGAAAAAATTTGCAGCCAAAAAATTTAAAATTAATATATTACTCTGAGTGAAATATTTTATGTGAACAGTACCTAGGATGTCTCCAGAAGAACGGCAAAAAAGTGCATTTTTAACTCACTTGGTTACACAATGACAAGCAATTTTGAAAACTGGCAAAATTTCATAGCTAGGTCCACACAAAAATAAACTTACAAACGTTCAGATTTTAACAAAGGTAAGGCTCTCATTTTTATCACATCGGTGCACATATTCATGTCTTGCGAATACAAATTACGAGGAAGAGAAATTAAATATCAGGACTGTTACGAGAGTACTTTTAGGGTATTTTTTTTGTGTCTTTGAACGAGTCAAACCGATGAATCTAATGTCGTCAATTTCGAACAACGCGATAGATATTTAAATTTAAGAATTTGTAAAAACAAGCGCTTAGGTGGGGAATTCTGGAAGAAAGCCTAAATAGTTCGAACAGTGTGGAGATGGGTAGTAAGACGATCGGCGGGCAGTGTGGCAAAGTAGTGAAAAATTAAAATTGTTTAACCGGTATTAGTTAGCAGGTAATTATTCTCTAAGTACTTTGTTGTTAATTGTTCTATGTAATCTTATGATTGTGATGATTATAGACGTTTCATGATAATAATTCTGTAAATGTTTAGCCTTCATTGTCTTATGCTCAGAGGCGTACATTTTTCTAACGTAAAATTGTTACAATTATTATTAAAGATCGCTCATTATTTATTACATGTTAGAATATGTATATATTCTCGTGGCTGCCCAGATATTGCAATAACAACTTCTTTGTTTCACATTTAACTTGTTTTGTCCTGATTACGTTGTTCGAAAAACAGGTAAGAAAAAATTTCTTGTGCTCACTTTATGTCATACGCATATAAGAGCCTTGTTGAATTTACTAAAGTGAGGTAACATTTAGTGAGACATTAAATGAGTCGGGCGTTATTTATCATTAGCAAAGGATCTTAATGTATGCCTTTTGTTAGCGGTTGTTTTGTATTTATATTTGGGTAGTTAGAGCAACGATCGTGAGTTTATCTGCCATACTCTTTCCCCACAGGAGCTCTAGGTGAGCCTGGTACTCTCATTTTATGTTAAATGGTTGTTAATGTTTTTGTTGTTCTTTCTATTTGTCACATGTTTAATTTGAAGACTGTTGTACGTAAATAATAAAGTTAGGTGTATTTACTCTGCTTTTGTTTTATAAAATTAAACCATACTTCCCCTGTTTAAGGTTAGTAGCCAGCGCCTTCCGGTAAAAAAAAAATAGATACATACAACGTAGGTATTCCTTATGACGATCACATATTTCTGGCCACAACTACGTTTATATTCTTTATTCGATCGAACCCGGGTTTGTTATACTACAAACATCAGGATATTTCGATTGTATCGTGAGCTTCAGATTATTCAGTAGTCACTGTATCGAATACTAGTCACAACAGCACATTCTCAGAAGTATACCAATATGGGATAATTAATATCTTAAAACATAGCAATGATTTATCCAAGGCTCGTCTATAATGTTATGGGAGGTAATAAAATGGTACGAAAACTAGATGTTTTACACAGCAGAAGGACTATGTCCAATAATAGGACACAAATAATTTTTCAAAACGTTGCTATAATTAACTACCTTATACATTAAATTGACAGACTCACCAGTGCCAGTTGAGACAGGTACAGAGGAAGGTGCGTTGGCCGCGTACGAGGGGTGTGTAGTTGGTTGTGCGTGAGCCACCGCTGGATTACAACTTCTGGCATTGTATGATGAACTCAAAGAGTGAAGTGGATCGTGGAACATGTATGGGTAGCCTGTTGCTTCCCTTTGCTGGAGGCAGCTCGAAGTCAATCCGTTCTGCATGGAGCTGAAATAATGAGTTTGGTTAGTTTTTCTGTTCGACGAATTTGTACTTTTGGAAAGTGTGTGCCTGTTACGTGAAAACATAATCGAAGTACATAAATCTTATATAGGGTCCGAGTGAAAAAATATTGGTAGCTGTCGCTTTTTGTAATTAAAGAAAATATACTTTGCTGCGGAAAACAAAAATTATGGACAAATAAAGAAAGTGTATCGAGGATACAAAAGTTAATTTAAAGAATCGACACATTTTCATGTTTCAAATTCGATGTAATAAACTTTGCTAATTTGAAAACAGTCAGAGATGCCATAATGCAAGGAAATTGAAAACATTTTCGTTAGTATTTGATATTTTGTTGAAACTGGCAATTCCGATTTTTAGTTTTTCTAGCTAGTCGATAAACAGAAAATACTTGTGCAATACCATTTTTTTCTCCTCTATTTGAATGCAGTATAACTTGGATATATTGAAGTGAGGATAATAGGTATATTTGTAAATACGCAAAGGAATATATTCTTGAAGCTCGTGTCCCACAATCTTCTACTAAATAATATTTCTTCGTTTAATGAAACGTTTTCTTAATGGAAGATTTTTTGTTAATGATGATGGTATGTGAGCGTCAAGTATATATTTTTTGCGTATATGTAGGTATATATAAATACAGGGTGATTCAGAACTTATCCAAAAAAATTTGGGAATATATGCGGCATGGGAAATGGAGTCAATATCGTAAAAAAATTTTTTTTAAAATCCTTATAGTTTCTGAGAAAAAAATTATTGAAGTTATAGTACATTCAACGACTGCATAGCTGGACAACTGTAGTCTCTAGCGTCATTTGCAATGCGCGTGGAGAGCCACGTAGCCTCAGCGACTCCGAATAGTGAAATCGTATTTTGCAATCGTCGTTGCAACAGTATTTACCTGTTATCTGTTGTGTTACAATATTTTTTAGTAGTTAGTGTCAAAAATGGGTAGTTAGTGTCAAAAATGGTTTGCGTGTAGGTATAGCAACTCGGAGTTGATGGATATCGTTTTAATTTATGGTGAAGCATTTGTGTTATGGTGAAGCAAGACAACATTTGTGTCAGTTCGTAGAAACTGAGTAAGACGAACCCAAATGTGTTTACACGTTGGTGGATTTTGAACAATTGTTCTAAAATCGGGTATGTCAAAACATTTTATTATTTAAAAATACAAATTAATTGTATTAATTAATAAAGGCAAAAGCAGTTGAATTTGCCGATATAAAATAGGTACGATAAAATTCTATTTACATATTTCTTTCCTTGCGAAAGTTTTTGTCCGTTTTTATCACACCGCCATGCCGGTCGCATTGCGCAAGGTCAGGTTTTACAGTGGACCAGTTTCCAGTGCCGTGCAAAAGTGTATTTTTAAATCATTTTCGAACTGCCCTTTTTTTCTTTAAAAAATTGTATTTGTAAGGGTCCCCTGTACATTCAGAATTTTTTTTGGATAAGTTCTGAATCACCCTGTATATCATTCTTGATTTAAGAAATATTTATTTTCCCTGTGTGTACATGCTCTTGTGAAAGCAATGATTGTTACTGCTATAGTAGGACACAAATTACAGGAGGCGTTGGAAAAACCCTATATTTTTCCTATAATTTGTATTGATTTTATTCTAACACAAATAGCTTTTTAATCTCTTTAATTATTTGATAATTTGTAGTTTTCTAAAAAAATCATTAAAAAAATGTAGATACCCCTACAAAAACATCACCATTAAAGTTTCGTGGATAACTACGATAAACGATGTACCTTTGCCATCACAACAGGCACGTTAAAAAAAGTACAATATTACTAGTAGGTCTCATTTTCAAAAATTTTAGGCATTACAGTGACAGGCGTTGAAAACCATGTTGAAATGGAATCGTGCATCAAATTTTCGTACACAACTATGATACACTTGTAAGTTCACCACCGAGAGAGATAACTAAAATTGGATAAGATCATTGCTAGTACAATGTAAAATGTCCCATTACTATAAAAAATTGTATTATCTATTAAATTTTCATGAATAACTTCGTATCTACTATTTTTTTGAAAGTTTCGTATTCAAAACTAATGAAAATTGAACAATAGCAGAATCTAAACGAGATTATAACTAACATTTGAATAGACTTTGTAATAAAAGCTACAAACATTGTACCTGTTCAAATAAATCCAAAAACGGTTAAATTGAAATATGACAATTTCCCATTTAAAAAAAAAATGAGGAGTTTCCTTTTCAAAATCGTTACTTCTGTTATCTGTTTAAGTACCTAAGTAGGTGAATCAAATTTTCTTATATTCTGATATGTGAAAAGAAGGCTATATAATTTCCCGAAATGAACGAAGAAATAAAAAATTCTTATTGTTTTGACCTGACCACCTGTCTTTCGAAATTCAGACAATTTTCCATTTATATCTGCTCATAGTTAATAGCGTCGATGTAGTCGGCCAAAGATTAAGAGGCTTAATTAATTAGTATTAGCCCCGAATGCATTAAGTCGTTTCACACTAGATCAAGCAATTGATTTGTTCGCATTTGCCACTAATACATCTGCTTCGGACTGATAACGTCTCCTCGACATTACCATACAAACAAGGCCCAGCCGACGGACGTGCACGTCCACGTTAATAGTTATTGGTTTATTGCATTCAATGGATTTGTTAATCTTATGGCCTGGACGTACAAAGGCAACAGCCAGTGTTACAAAATCACAGGTGAACTAAATAACACCGGTACACAAAAAAAGTGCTCTGTTACAGAATACCCACCTATGTATTTCTACGTATTTTTTTCTGTTGAATTTGAATCCGTCAGAGTTGGCCCATCAGCCTAGAATTTTTCGTGAAAGCCGAAAAAGCACTTGAAAACCATCCAAAATAGTGTTTACATGATAAATTGTAGATTTTGAAAGTGTACTAAGTATATAATTTCCATGTACTTTTTTCTGCCGAATCCGAATTCGATGTCAGAATTGGCCCATTATCTCAAGCAATTTGGTTGATGCCGAAAAATTAACTGAAAACCTTCATAATGAAGATAAAAATAAAAACTCAGGATATCATAAAACTGTTTACATTTACATTCAAAATAAGTCTCTATGCGTTTGTTTAGAAGTATCCCCATATTTTCCTTCTACAAACACCTTTCATCAATTTTAATTATTCTAGAAATAAGTGACACTATTCAGTTGCATAAATTACTTAAAAAATCCCATTTTAAATTATATATGTCACCCCGTCAAAAAAAAAATGTTTTTGTACCCGTTTCGGACACCCTTCACTTGCTCGCTCGAAGAACGCAAAGCTGACAGTTCATCATCTCGCTACGCTCCTCTGGAATTTATAAATCACCGGTAGCCGTTGCTGAGTTACATTTTTTTGGTGTGTGAAGTAGTATCTGAAAGCTGGACTCCCTACTGTTCTCCCTAAATGTATTTCCAGCACATACGGCAGGACCGACTCGAGATATTTTATTCCTTTTAAGTTATGTAATTTCTTCATAATTTCATTCAGTTCGAAAAACATCAGAGTCAGAAATAAACTATAATAAACTTACGTTCTATTTAACATTTAATATTTTTCTATAAACAATTAAAAATAGTATATGTTTATTTAATAATACGCTTTCTCTAGATTTCCGTTTCTAACATTTTCAAACCCAAAATATATTGGTATCAAACCGTAATCAAAGATCAAAATTCGTCCATGTTCTGAATCCAAAACCAAAGATCGCCTGTGGGCAAGAAAAAAACTTCAAAACAAAACCACCCAAGCATAGCAGTAATTGTCTGATGAAATCTAGTATGCCATAAAGCCACCCAAATAACACCTGGTCAAAATTTAAAATTGTTACCAATGTTTCGAGTCCAACTGTTGGAGCCGTCCACGAAGCCTAAAATTACTCCAGACACACCAAACCAAAGCAGGTGACGTTTAGATAGCCCGATACTATTGGTAGAGCGACCACTAACGACCTCCACGAATCACCGATATTTTAAACTTTCTAGTAAAACAGCACGATATTCACAGAAATCGAGCCACGGCCAAAGGACGATGTTACGAACATAAATAAACCAGAAACCCAACCGCGTTCGACGACAGGTTAAAACAACATCAGGAACCACCAAAATCGCACCACAAAAAACTACAACGAAGATTTACCTCGAGAATTGTCGGAGCCATTAGGAAGTGTGATTGAACATCGACTGTGGTTTTCTGTAGTTAATTAACGCAGACAATATTTCTGGCCAGTACAAAGTACGACATTCCGCTTTCACTTTCATTACATTGTACATGACTTACTGCAAACCAAACCAAACCTTGTATATCAATCATGCCCAAAGAGCTTTCAACGTACAGGCGGAATAAATATTGCAATTTATCTATGTAAAGGTTGCTGTTTTCCGATATTGGACGACTCAAATGATGGAAGTACTGCTTTAAAGCATACGAAACTCGTGGCAACTTAATTATACAACTTAGCTATTCGACAAAAATAGCGCAGTGTGATTGAGAGGAGTGAGAAATTCCCTGGTGGCACAGTAGTATTTTATTTAGATTATACCAAGTAAACTTTTTGTATTCACTACTAAACTGTAGCTCAGGCTCAGGCATAGATCTAGCGTTCAAATTACCCAGGTTTCTGCGGGTGGTACAAGAGTGCATTTAAAAACAAAACCAATGCAAAAAGATTGAATGAAAAGTGCCATCGAAAGGGTGTTAAGCAAATTTCAGGCAATCACAACAGAGTGTATCCTCCTCTCTAACACCAGCTTCCAAGTCCAAGCTTTTGTTGAAAAAGATAGAGGCTCTCAACAGCGTTCATTCCCCGAATACAGTACATTGTTAGAGAAATTCGCAGGAACCCAAACAGACCATACGTGGCTCCATCTATCGTGCTACTTCCCACCTACGTCATTCTGCTACAATTTTCTTTCAAGAAAACATAAGTTTGATTATAATATGCTACTTTTGTCTTGAATAATTCCTACAT